TTCAAAAAGGAGTAATTGAATTCACTTAATCATAAACGTAATTCCCAGTATATGACCCTGATTTTTTTTAAATTATTTTCGCATACGACTAAAGTTAATGACATGGCCTAGACTGGAGGAAGTACTAGCCTGAAATTCAGCACAAGTCTAGCATGGAACTAGAGCACTGCTGTAAGTCTGAGTAATTTTGTGGAAGTATTACTACTGCTTCTTCCCAAATCCCTGCTAGAATTTCTACACCCTGAGAACTTTGCATCTCCAGGAATTTTATCATCTGCTAGTTTGTTTTACGAGCTTTAGCACTTCCTGCAGTAAGGAAGAAAATGCATGTTCAGATGAGATACTAGAATTTTTCTATTTTCAGAGAGTCTAAAACTCTGCTCAGCACATCTGTGGAGGCAAGAAACTAAGATTTATTGTTACCTACTGAGGCAGCAGCAGCTACAGTTTGGATACATGATGGAGACTCCTCTGTACAAATACAGAGCAAGAGAGGACTTTACTGGTTTTAGTCAAGTGGTAAAGAGAGGAAAAAAAGAGAAACAAGTAGCTGCACTGCCTGCACTTATTGCAGGCAAATGAGGATTGGAATTGGTGACAAACCCCTGCTTTCTGCTCCCAGCTACATGTCCTAATCAGTAGGTCTTGTGATCTCCCATCCCAGAAGAATCACTAGAAAAGGGGAGCAGACAGAGATGAAGCAGAGGCCAGTTTAGGAGAAAAACACACATACATGCCTTGTTTAGACAATTTGCTGAAGGAAAGAAGGCTTATAAATCAGTTTTACATGGTTCTGTGTTCTCCATTAATATTTAAACCCTGTTATTAAGTTTAAGGAAGCAGAGGGAGGTCTCAGCACTTCAACTTTTTAACAGTTTTGTAAAGATTGGTGAGAGAGGTAACTATTTCTCCAGTGAGAAAGATAGGCTCATCAGCAATTTACCTCTTAATATATGCCAGGTTATTCATGCAACCAGGAGAAAAGATGCTGTTGTACCTTGCATTGTAGACCACTGAGAATCAACCCAAAAGATAATACAAAAGAAACTGAGACCTACTTGCTTCACTGTTTATAAGAATGTTTATCATGTTAGTTAGAAGAAATTGCAAGAATTCCTTAATCCTCTAAACATGTGCTCACTGCCATGCGTTAAGTAACATGCACCAAGCAAATGATAGAGCCTAGCTTTTTAGAAGACTATGACATTTATGTAACAGGTGGGATTTCTTTTAAAAAAACAAGGCCAGAACTGTAACTGGCTCTGGGAGAGGCAAAGAGAATGCCCATTAGGAAAGGAGAATGTGAAGGCTTGAAATAAGTTGGAGTGACAACATAATATTTTGATTATTCAAATAGAAACACCAAGGCCTTTTCAGTCATATTTGAGTAAGTTACATTATACTGAAATCCCAGCACTAGGAAAAAATTGTGCTAAATACTCGTAAGGTCTCAAATAATAAATGTCCAGTCTAGCTTCACTGTAAGGTCAAGGTGAGAAGGGCTTCAAAAAGAAGAGGGAATGATCCACAACAGCTTCTATCATCAGAGAAGTTTGTGACAAGTTTAGGGCAAGACAGAGATGGGAATCGAACCTCTCAATACAGTCTTGAATCGGGCTGTATTCGTTTCATCTATTCAGCTATGCACTTCACACTGTTGAAGTCTCTTTCCTAACCAGACAGATTACAATTTCAGTGCAGTGTTGTAAAAACGGAATTCCACTAAGTACTTTAAACTTGGATTGGATACATGGAATCAGCTGTTCTGGGTTGTTTAGGGTTTTTACCCCCTAGATTTTTCAGAGGCAGAAGTAATGTTTTATTGTGAAACTTTCTCTAGAATGTTTTATTAATTTAACATTTGGACTCACTGTGCACATTTGCAAAATTATTAATTAGCTTATGTGTAAATGGCTAATTAAGTGCTTTAGAAGTTTACACTTAACACGGTCCAGTTGCAGGGATAGCAGTTTCTGTTACCGCTATGTAAATTGTAACTATATTTCAAAGCTATTTCTTAGTATTTGGTGTTTTGAAACACCTTTTTAATTAAGTTATAAACAAGTTCCTACTACAATAAAACTATTAGTCATTAAAAAGAGAAAATTCTATAATGTGCAATTTGACTTCTGTGACATACATGGTGGTGGAACTTTTAAATTGCACGATCACAGGTTCATTTTCCATAGGACTTGCACCTTCTTCTGTGCTCCAGTACTCACCTAATGAACTGCTATGCAGCACTTCGTCTGTTCTTTCTGAATACTGTCTCTCTATCTAGCAAAATCTATGCCTTCTTTCTCCTCACTAGGTTTATACCAAGTCCCACTGTGTGCTGACAAGTAAGACCGTTTCTCTGTCTCATTCCCATCCTCATATACTTATCTTTCACTGGGTCTCAAATTTATTCCCTTCCATTATAACTGAGGCCTAGCTGGTTTTTTTGCTCAGCTTATCCTAGGCTTAGATGTTTTCCCATTCAAGCCCTCATCTCATGAGAGCTTGTCGTCTTTTTAGGGGGCTTTTTTCCTTCTATCCTCATGTCATGTGATCTTTTCTTCCATTTGTGCTGAAAGCCAATGGGACACCTGCTTATCTCTCAGGTTCTTCCTGTGACTTTTCCCTTCAGCTTGTGGAGAAAAGAGCGTAATCAGTCAGTAGAAGGCACAGATGTACATGTAATCGAGTCACAGAAGGGAACCATAGAATTTACAGCCTGTTCACCCATGAACATCAGAAAAATCTCAAACAGGCATGTGCAAACAGGTGTGTGCAGAGGGGTAGGGCAAGCACTTCTGTCACACTTTCAAGCTAAACACTGGCAATTCTAGCGTTTTTGTTCTGATTGTTTAACATGGAAATCAGAAGGAATTATGCTCTTTTGCTCCACTCTAACATAATACAAAGGAACCAGGGGACGGGGGGAGGGCAGTCACCAACAGCGGCTATTCTATTGTTTTCTCTCAAAAACTTGGCAAAGCAACAAGCTAGACACAGCTGAAATGTGCTGGCTAAAAATTTCTCAAAACTTTCATCTGAGACAGACACAAACCATGCCTAACACCATCACAGAGAAAGTTTGTCAAAGCCATGGATACCTGAAAAAGGGTTGCATACCAGAAAATATTAGTAACCCCTATACATATACAACGCTACCAGCATTGCCTACAATTATGATTCACACATTTTTATGCACGTGATGTTTTATAAACTAATGATATGCTGAAAAGCATGTTTTGGTTTGGGTCGTTTGTGGTTAGTCAGGGCATTTTGAGAAGTAAGCAATTTGATTTTAAAACAAAAATTGTCTCAGTTCAAACATAATTTCCCATGTTAGGGAAATTTGGAGCGTTCTTTGTTCATCAGTTTGCACTTAAGAGTTTCTGTTTTTTTAAAATCCTTTCATGACAAACCTCATTTGCCATTTTAAGTTAGAAAGAAATCCTCTTCCTAACAGAGTTCCTTCAATCTATTGAGGTCAAAAAGCGGGTATAGGCCATCGTCTTGAGTAAGATAACGGGTCGTGGAAAAGGACCTGGGTGTTCTGGGGGACACCGAATTGGACATGAGGCAGCAATGTGCCCTTGCTGAAAAGGTGAACAGTATCCTGGGCTGCATGCAGCAAAGTCCGGCAGGCAGGTGGAGGGAGGGGATCCCTCCCCTCTGCTCAGCTCTGCTGAGGCCACCCCTGCAGGACTGTGCTGAGTTCTGGGCTCCCGGCTACGGAAGACACAAACATACTGGAGGGCAGTAAAGGGCCACAGGACAACAAAGGGACAAGAAAGTATCTCTCCTATGAGGAAAGGCTGAGAGAGCTCAGATATCTAGCCTGGAAAAGCAACAGCTCAGGGGATCTCATCCACCTGTACAAACACCTGCAGGGAGGATGCCAAGAGGACAGAGCCAGGCTCTTCCCAGCAGTGCCCAGGGACAGGGCCAGAGGCCACGGGCACCGAGTGACACACAGGAGGTTCCCTCCAAACATCAGGAAACACTGTCACTGTGAGGGTGACCAAGCACTGGCACAGGTTGCCAGCGGCAGCCACAGAGCCCTAATGCGGCTGGAGGACTGGGGATGTCTGACACGTGAGGACACTGTAAACCGCTCCTCGCAGCTGTGAGTGGCTTTGGGCCAGGCCTGCTTTTAGTTCTTCCCGCAGGGCTTAGCGGCCACAGGAGCAATGGTCTCCTTGCCACCGCCGCTGCCAGCCTGAGCCACAGCTCCCTGGCGCGGTCCTACCCTCTATTCGCGCCGTGGAGTATTTTCAAGCTCCGCTTTACCCGAGAGGCACCCGGGGTGGGCGGGGGGTTGAGGCCTCCCGGAGCGGTCGCGGTCGCGGTCGCGGTCCCGTCCCGGCCGGAGGAGGGGGGTGACGTGCCGCCGCCGCAGAAGGCCATGGCGGGGGCCCCGCCCGCGGCGCCGCGGGGATTCCTCGGGGCGGGGCCTCCGCCCGCGGCCACGGACGCGCCGCTCGTGGCCCCGCCCCTATATAAGGGGCGGTCTCAGCGCGGCCCTGAGCGCGGCCGCCGCCTCTCCCGCAGCCGACCCGCGCACGGGCACCATGGCAGGTCAGTGCGCGCCCGGCACGCGCCGCCGCTCGCGAGGGCCGCGGGAGCGGAGCTGCGCCGCGCGCGCCCGGCCGCGGAAGCGGAGCGGGGCGGCCGCGCCTATCTTTAGGCTGCCGTCCCGGCGGCGAGCGGGGTCCGGGGGAGGGCTGCGGCTGCGGCCGCGGCCGGTGGGGGCAGCGGCTGCCCGCGGGGAGGTCGGAGCCGCCCCGCCGGGCACCGCCGTGCGGGCTGAGGGGACGGGCGCGGTGCAGGCTCGCGCCGCGCCTGCCTCGGTGCCCGGCCCCGGGCTCCGGCCCCGGACGGGGAGGGATGTAGCCAGCGTGGCGGGGAGCGGTACGGGCGAGAGGGGCCACTGTAGGGCCGCAGCGACTCACAGGGGAAAACCCAACTCTCTCCTGAAACGCCATAGAGAGCGTGCGACTTCGGTGATTTTGATACTTTAAAATGAGTAGTTCTTTACCGCCCCTTTAAGTCCGTCTGGCTTTTTCTTCCGTTTTTTCCCCCCGATTCTTCCCGTACCTGAAGCTGTCAGCGGAGTAGGTTTCATTTTCAGATCTGGAAGCCTGCAGGAAGTCTGCCTCCCGGTGCATGTCTTGATTAGATGCTCTTGTCTCTCTAGGAATCCCGTAATCAAAAAAAAAAAAAATCAGATGTACGAGTACCTAACTCAAAGAACAGGGGAAAAGGCAAGCACCTGTAAACTCTGGCTATGCGTACGAAAAAGCTTCCGGGGAAATTTTGAAAAGATCTGGGGCAAGCACTCCAGTCACTTCCTGCACGCCGTCAAATGAAAGATTGCTCCTAGCTCAGACGTCCAGGATGCTCTTGGCTGTGTAAAGGCTGGCGCAAATTACAAAGGGATATTCTAGCCTCTGAACTGGGCAGCTAAAGGTGTCTCTGCAGAATCATGGTTTTGTCTGGATAAGTCAGTTATGAAGCTGTGCAACTGTATCTCATTCTCTGTTTTTGCAGACATGTTGTTACTAACAGGTCATTAGGTATCAGGCACAACAGTGGCTGCTGTGTGAACGTAAGATGCTGTGGAGGAAGTGTTTACAGAAAATTGAAAGGGAGATACGAACAGCTGAAATACCTGTGGTTTATGTAGAATGGACTAGTCTCTTGCAGATGTAACTTCCATAATTATCAGGAACTGGTCTTGCCTGAATTGTAGCATGGACTCATGTACTTCTGAGTGTAGAGAAGATCTGAAATAGAACACAGTTAATTCAAAGCTTTGGAAAGCTGGGCTGACTTGGATGGTCTACAAGTTGGCAATATTCCCCTCCTGTCAAGCAGTTGTACAGTCTCCTACTGGAGTTGGATGTAATAGGGGGCTTCTTAGCCTTTACTCCATCATTAAATGGACTTTATTTCTCTAAGACAGACCTCTGTGTGTGAATATTCAGTTTCAATAAAATGAGAAGACATGGTAGAAGTATACCTGCTAGCAGGTCAATGACAAAAGACTAGTCTTTCAATGACAAGGTCACTTTAAGAATTAGTCTTACACAGCTGGAAAAAAAAAAAAAAGGCAACATTCAGATGAATGTTGGGCACAATCCCACTTTGTCTACACTGGATTTTTAGTGAGCAGTCTGAGAGCATAGAGTGGCTGACTTCTATGTATTGAGTAGTAACGTGCAAATTAACTAGTGAAAAACCCTATCCTATTTGGAGGATGTTCACACCACTTAAAATGTTACATACTTGCCATTTCAAGGAAACATAAAGTTGTTCTGTAGACTTGCTGAATATGAACTGGTACAAATAGGTAGCTAAAAGTGAATTGAAACAAAATATCTTTATTCCTGGCATTATAGAAGCTTTTTTGATCTTTGTGATTGACCACTATAATCTAAATCCCTTGGGACTAGTTGGTTTTGCTGCTAAGCAAAATAGAAGGTTTTGTAGCTGGTCTGTAGATCTTGCAAACCAGGTTTGCAGAGCTTATAGACAGTTATTGTACATGACTTTCTGTCGTCAACAGTTAAGGTGCTATTAAATTTAAAAGATATTAATGATGACTGCCTTATGAACTTAGGAGTTGTGCCAAACAATCTCTCCCAAAGAAGTCAGTATTTTAATTTTACTACGAGGCTTGATAGTAAGCCTTTAAGTGCCCAGAACCCTCACTCTGATCTAACCTAGTAACCTAACAAATTCTGTAAAGAAAAGAAATCAGAGTTGCTAAAATAAACTTGAATCTCAAAATCTATCCTTGAAATTCTCAGGAAGAAACTATTCTGTTGATAGTGTTGAAAATGGATTGGTAGAAAAGAGCATACTTTATAAAGAGCTGTAGCTTGGAAAGGAGGTCTACATGACAATAGTTAACAGTGAACTGAAGAACTTTTGTAAGTTACTTGTTTGCTTTTGTCAGTCCCACCCTGGCAGTTTAAAACAACATGACAATTGAAAGAATGCAAAGCTTGTATTATATGGCCTCAATAAGCACTATATGGCAAAACAATACATCTTCATCTATTTCTGCGATACAGTTGGAGCAGATTATACTTTACATTAACAATCCAAACTTACCTCTTTTTTGCTTGAAGAGTAAAAACTGTTGCTGCAAATTTTAAATTGCTTTTTGTATTACTAGTTACTTCCCATTTAAATCTTGCATTCTTGTGATAGAGCTGCAACTGTGGGTTGCAGAACAACTCATCTGCAAAATCCTGAGCTAGCAAAACTTAAAACTGTTGTCCAAGATCTAATTCAATGCTTACTTTCATTTGAAAATGAAATGCAAGTTTTACACTGCCGTAGCTTCAGGGTTGAGAGCTGAACCCACAGTAACTCTACAACACCCTTCTAACTTCAGGCCAAATGCAAGCCCACAGAATCCAAATGCTTTTAGGTTAAAATAGCATATTAATGGCCAAAGTAAAGCTCTTTAGACTTTTTGGATTGTCTCTACATTTGGCGTGACTTATTTAACGGGGGCAAATTTGAACTGGTTTTCTCTTGCAACAGTCTTGATTTTGTGGGTTTTTTTACTGCATTTTGCCATGTGTCAAGTTACTTATAGCAAGTATAGCTATGCAAGTATGATCTACTTCATTCAGCCACGTAGGTAGGCCCTATATACGGAGTTAAAAGGCACATCTTAGTTATCACAGCGTGATTACCTAACAATAGTAGGTTTCTAGTATACCCATCTCAGAATAAAGTAGTGGATCGCGCTAACTTGACCAAGTTCATTTCTTCCAGACCAGTCTTTTGTGACTCTAGCCACAAATGACTCCTATGTGAAAGGAGCACTGGTACTTGGTTCATCCTTGCAACAGTACAGAACAACAAGGAAGCTGACTGCGCTCATTACTCCTCAGGTCTCAGATCTTATGAGGTAAGGTCACTTACATACTTCAAACTGCTACAGTTCCTGCTGATGTGCAGGTTGGGAAATGGAAGTTAAACTCCTTAATAGTAACCTTTCAAAACTGTGGAAGCTAAACAGCTAAGTTTAGTGGAATTCAACTTATCTATATTATCTGGAATTCTCTACGTTCTTCAAACATGAAACTGTTTATTATGTTCTGGTGGGGTTTTGTGTTTTCCTTCTTCCCTATGATGAGTTAAACAAATAGTCTGTAGTTACTAAACTGTGACTTGATACTGATATTTCAGCTGGATCTTTGCTATTTCATCGTCCTACTTAGAATTGTCCAACAATATTGCCTGTGTGTTCATTAGCGTTGTCTGTTTGCTGTGAGTAGGGGAGTAGGGGGTTGGTATTTGTTTTGCAGAAGTATTCCTGATTGAGATAATATAACACAAGCTCTCTTGAAATCTAGCAGATACGTCAAATCAAATTTTATCACGAGGGAAGAAAACAAGCAGAACTAAATTATCAATAAGTACATCAAATCAGTAGCTCAAAGAGGCATCTAACAAGGTCACCACAGTACAACAAGTGACATTAACAGGCAACTGCTTCCTAGAGCCTCTCTGGAATAATCTCAATATGGAGGGGACTGGGTTCTCTTTCCACATATACAAGGAAGGAAAAGAAACCCAAAACAGTTAGTTTGTACTATTTGTAAAAGTACAGATGATAGGTCAAGATTCTCTACATGGGAAAGTTCGTCTGAAAAGACTTCTCAATATTTAGAGACAGTAGAGAGGTGGCTCAATAAAAACAAAGGTCTAACTCTCCCTGCAATCTCCTGGCAACTAAACGGCCATATCAACATTAAGATTTTACATCCATGCCAGCCTGTTAGGCGAGTGTGCTCTTTTAAGATGAATCAGTCCTAAATGTGCTTCTGTGCTAGTGCAAGCCAGCCAGTACTATGCCCTTAGACTGATACGTACCTACCTAATGGCAGGACCAGAACTTGCATTTCTCACCCTGTCTCCACTAACAGGGTATGCCTTAAGTTCAGAAGCAACTGTCCACACCAAACTGTCAGTATAAAGACAGCCTTGCAAGACAGAGTTCCAAAACTCATTTACAAGCTCTGTGGCTCAAATTGCACTGGTAATTGCTGAGCATTCAAGATACACTGTAGAATACTAACACTTTACAGATGCTTCCTATTTTAAGCAGCATGAATGCCTTAATCTCTCTTCAACTAATAGTAATGCTTTATTGATGGTAAAGCAAAGGTTGGATATCTGCCACAAAACTTCACTACGCTGCCTGAAAGTTTGTCACTCTTTAGTGAACATGATACTGGTTCAAAACATTTCTGTAGCCACACCCATGACTAAGTCCGTTTTGAAAAAACTTTTTGGGATAAAGAAAGTTTCAGCAACCGGATCAAGTCAGATGTCACAAATCCAGAAGAGCAGTGTTGTAACTATTGCAGAAACTTCTGTTTCAGGTCTTTAGGATTCAGCTACTGTCCTGTTCAAGCTACTCCAACAGCTTCCCATTTCTTAATTGCCTGCTCAAAGTAGACTGTTAAGTTGCCAAAAATCAGAGACTGGATGAAAAAAAGCTTTGTGGAAAGTTTGCACTACATAGCCATGACTTACTGGACTTGGTAGCAATGCCCTGTTTGTGGAAGAAAAAAAACTTCTTTCTTCCCCAAAATGTGCCTATTACAAACTAGAAACTTTGAGGCAGACAGGGGAACTTCTGCATTCCAACATATGCAGTCAACTCTTACTGATGAAATAAGAAATGCTGCCAGGTTCCCTGTTATACCACTTCTCTTTAAGGAATCTTTCATGTGGTCTGGTGCTGGAGTAACAATAGAACTAAATCTTGACTCTTCCCCAGGAGAGTGCTGGAAAAGGTCTTTGATGAAGTCATACTGGTAAATGTCTTGGACAGTGGGGATTCAGCACACTTGGCATTAATGAAAAGACCTGAGTTAGGTGTCACACTAACAAAGCTTCACTGCTGGGAACTGACACAGTTTACGAAGTGTGTTTTCATGGATGCAGACACAATGGTAAGTAGCTGTATCTCCTGGTACCTCTTAATGACCTTGTATGGGGGTTGTTGGATTTTTTCTGTGGATTGTTTATGTTGGTTTGTTTGTTTTTAAGAGTAGGGGTAATAGAAGCCTTTTACTAGTTGGACTAGTAACTGTAAGAATGTGTGTGCCTTTTAATCTAAATTAATTGTAATGAAGTCTGTGGGAACTATTTCCAAAAAGTATTGTCTTCCACAGGACAAGAGCATTGATATGAGAACTTTAAGACATGAAAGTTGATGTCATAATCCATGAAAACACGATACCACGATTCCCAATCTAAAACCACTTTTTTTTTTTTACCCTTTTACAATTAGGTTTTGTCAAATATCGATGAGCTTTTTGAGAGAGAGGAGCTGTCTGCAGCACCAGATCCAGGCTGGCCTGACTGTTTTAATTCAGGAGTTTTTGTTTACCGACCTTCTATTGAAACATACAATCAGCTGTTACAGTTTGCCACAGAGAAAGGCAGCTTTGATGGTATGTATTAATTTGTATTTCAATATAAGTTAGACCAAAATGGTAACAGTAGTTGGGATGGCTCAGTAACTACATACATGTCATGAGGACTCTGTATGACAGAATTCTCAATTCAGTGTAACTACACAAAAATTGTATCCTTCTCAGAAATAGAGGCTATCATTACAATATGTAGTGAAATTACTTTTTTTAAACTTCATGAAATAAAAACCCTGAGTTTGGCATCCAAACTAGCAGCTGTAAGCATTAGCAGTGTAGAATCATATAACAAGAAATCTTAAGAGGTAGCAAGCACAGTGCATGCAGTAGCAAATGAAACTGCAGTACCATGCTTCATGCATTCCTAACACTCAAGGCTTGAATGTTCTACGCCAACTCAAGTTGATACAGAAAAAATAGCACTGGTCAACTTGAGCACAGCTTCAGAGAATCAAACATTTGAAGATACAACTCTGTCTTCATATGCTATGTGATGGCTTCCTGTCATTACAGGGTGGTGGCTGTCTCTTTCCCAATATCAAGTGCATATAGCCTTGGCTGCTTCCCACTATAGGTCACTTGAGACTGGCCACTGTACCAGATTTAAGCTTGAGAAGCCAAGTTCTGCTGTTCTGTAAGTCTACTAAATCTATTACCATTGCAGTAAAAGCACGTGGAGACTGCTATAGTTAAAGGCTTCTGAGTATCGCTGTCTCCTGCCACTGTAACTACAACAAAACAAAGTCTAACTTAACAAGCTACAGAAAACTACATAAACAAGACCATAAAATGGAGCTTTAGATAGAAGGCAATTAGCCAGCCTGTTGACTTACCTTTCAGTACTTTTCAAAAAGTAAAAATTCACTAGTCACTCCTAGTCTGCAGAATAATCCCTGTTACTGTGTGGACTCTTGTATGTAGTTTTCTAAAGAACATTAGTCACAGCTGGATGCTTAATGCTACCATAGGAATAGACTCTAGTGAAAATGAGTATTGCCATGTAGTGAAGGGTCTGTACCTTGCTACTGACAAAGCAGCAGTTGGTAGCTTTGTGAGCACTCTCAGATGTTGGGTGCAAATTGATCACCAGCTGTGGCAAAATCTATAGCATAGTTCTGAATTGTTACATTAAAAACAAACCAAAATAAAAAATGCAAAACAAAATAACACAAAAAAACACCAACAAAAAAACCCTACAAAAAGACCCCCTCTGTGCCCCCCCAAAAAAACTCCAACACATCCAAAAGCCAGCCAACCAAAAAAAAAACCCAAACAAACACACATCTTTGTGCAAACTTACTGCTGAGTAGCTCCAGACCATCTGAGACTTGGTGGTTGTCTTCTCCAAGCTCTGTGCTTGACTGCTAGCAGACCCCATCTTCTAGTTTGAAGGCCCCTGTCCTTTAAAAGAATAGAACTGCTTCCACAATATACTCTCCGACTTGAAAGCTAAAGCCACACAATGGTGAAACTGCTTCAGTTTTCTAAATGCAAAATAATTGTTGCAGCACTTAACAGCAAAAATAGCGGGTTAATGGTTTAGATATCGAATTTCTAGAATGTCATTTGTATTTCAGCTTTAAAATTTACTTAGTTTTTATTAAATGACAGCACTGATCTGAGTAATGAGACCACAGAGACTTAGGCCATCTGTATAAGCTACTGCTGAGCTCAGGAACTTGGTGGGGGAGAAAGGGGATTGAAACTTAAATTGACCCAGATGGTAATAAAAGGTTCTACGAAACTTTTAGTAAGAGAAAAACCTGTGAAGGGTCACTGCTTTTAATAGGACATAGGGATACAAACTTAACAAGCTACCAAGCTATGTGTTAGTTGAAGTCAAGCTGCAAGTGCCTCATCTGCAGTAGTAGTAAGTAGGGAATGCAGGACTTTCCAGAGTATTTCATGTTTATAACAGCAGACGGGAGCCTTCTGTGTAATGCTGTTGTCCAGAAATGGCAGAATCATAGATACTTAAGTAAACAACCACTTTGTCTACTTGAACTTCACCTTTCTAGATATAAAGCAATGTCATGCAATAACTCTAGATACCATCTAAAAGTAGTGGAAGGGAAAGAAAAATTTAGTTTTAAAAGAAATCTGGTACTACTGATACTTTAAGAACGTTGCTATTGCTTTGATAATCCTCTGGCTCTTTAACCTGGGATCCAAAATAATTGCTCTTACAGTCTTGCTGTATTATATCTTTGTATTTACATATTGTATCTGTAAATATGTAGTTAATACAAGTACTGCCTGATTCTTTCACCTTATGTCTAAGATCCAGTTTATATAACACAACTACTGTTGAAGTCTGGACTAGGACAACTAAATGCTGCTTTCATTGTCTGCTTTAGCACAAATGCATGCAATCTGAAAAAAAAAAACAAAAACGAGTATGTAAAACAATCTGAGTGAGAGGAAGTCCTGTAGAGTGTAAGTTAAATACACTGCTGCTGCCCCTTCAGTTCTCTTGTGATGGACACAACTTCTTTCAAAAGTGCTTTCCTTCCTTTAGGGGCTGAGAGGCAAGTCAGAGATTTGAAATTACTGCACTGAGTCCTCTGGCAGTTTCTCACTTTGCAATCTGCATGTATGCTGACAGCTGTAACTGGATACTTGGAATTTATATTTGTCAGTGTACTGTCTGTACATCTAAGTTTATGCCCAGCGTCTAGGTACTTCAGTTGCAAAAAGCAAATTCTGCTCAAGTAGCACTGATGGCGTAAACCTTAATACTGCCCTAACTCTAATCACAGGCAAATAAAAACCCTTTTCTGAGTCAGCAGAGACTGAGTGCTTGAGAAAATTAAAGATTAAAATAAAACTTTGTCTCTACTAACTAAGCTATCTGTTTATGTACTCTTTAGTAATGCTTCTTGTGAATGCAGTTACAGGTGAAAAGAATACAGTAAATGAAAGTTGAGGGACTCCTTTCAATTTCCTTGATAAGGGGAATTATTACCACTTAAAAACTAATTATGTTCATTGCAATAAAGAATGAATAGTATAAATAAATAGGGCTTTACTTCTCATAGCTGCTTATAAACTATTCTGCTGTGGCCTGGAAGCTTTATTTTATTTTATTTTTGTTTTTTTTAGTTATTCTACTACTGTGATACCAAACAACTTTTGACTGACTTATCCTCATTACAACCTCTACTTGCAAACTTAGGTAGCCCCTCCCAACACAGATATTATCCTCACTTAGCAGTTAATCAGCAGCTTTTTAGTACAGAACTAGGAACACCTCTTGTCTGTTATGGGATTTGATGAAGTTGTACTAGAGTTGTCACCAAGACTGAACAGTGCCCTTTTTTATCAGATTGCTGTGGAGGTAGATGCATCTGGGACTGCAGGTCTAACAGGCCACTGATACCCTAACTCTGGCAATGAGATGTTGGTTATGCATCTGTAAGCATAAGTAATAAAACTAATTATTGCCACTTGATCTTCTGAGCTACAGCTTTCCTGAAGCTGAACAGTACTCAGTTGTCCTGATCTATTTTGTTTTTTCTGCCTCATACAGCTTGAACTTCAGCTGTAAAAGAAACTGAATGGCAGAGTTTGTAAGCAGCTTGCTATCTTTTAGCAAAAGTAACCCCACACAGACTATCTATTTCATTCTCTACATTTTTTTGAATTTTCAAAGGCTGCAAGGCTTACAGGGTTGTTCACAAATAGAAATTTAGTGCTCTGTGCCAAACTTCTACTGGACATGACAACTGCATTACCAACTCTTACTTACTGAAGTGACTGAAAAAGATCCTCAAATAGCTATCTGATGCTTGTAGCCTATTAATGCTTTCTCTTTTAGGTGCAGATCAGGGGTTATTAAACACCTTCTTCAGCAGCTGGGCAACAACAGACATGAGCAAACATCTACCATTTATTTATAATTTGAGCAGCACTTCTGTATATTCCTACCTTCCAGCATTTAAAGCGTAAGTTCAAATTTTTTAGAAGATTTTAGAGCTTACATAAACTAATTTCTTGTAACAGAATGAACAGGCATGATGTGAGCTTACACAGGTTGTCTAGAAGGAGACTGTCATTGTCACTGAATATATAGTAGTTTCTTCTCTTAAAAAACAACAACTTGAATTAATGTAAGTCAAATGAGTCACCTCAAGATAAATGCAGAGAGAGCTGTATCGGTAGCTTAAACCACTCATCCCTGGTAGTAACACCAAAATTTAGAGTAAGTACATTTGACAGGTCACTTGCAAAAGGAAGAACCATTCCTCCAGTATGGGATACAGTCTAGTACAGTTCTAACCAATGGCAGTAGACTCTTGAATCTACTTGAGCTGGTATCATTCCCACTTAGGTAACTTGTCCTTTTCTCACTCAAGTTACTTAGGGTATTTAATAACCAGTAGTTAAAGTTCATCTAATCAGCCTATACCATTCAAATAAATGTGGTGAGCAAAGACTTTTATAAAACTAGAATTCTCTCCCAACAGTCTTTCTTGACCTCTGTCAGATTTTTAAGTAACAGCACTATGGAACAGTCTACTGCCAGCCACATACCATTACATGTTTCCTCTGTGAGGAAAACTGTATCCTCCCCAGCTAGCAGTATTCCATTTGGCATGTGCATAAACTGTATGTCAGAGGCAGGGTCAAAATGTTATAACACAGGAGGGGGGGGAGCAAGGGAAGCTGAAATGTTACACAGAAACTCTTTATCTATTAAGAGCTGCAGAAGCTGGGGGCAAGGGGACAGAAAGTACCAATTGCATAAAAACAATCTGATCTCTGAATGACATCAGTTTACTAGTGTCTAAAGCAGCGGCTAGCATAAGCAGGACTGTTGCTGGCTCAAGATCAAACTATGTCTTGTGATCAGAATACCATCTGGAATCTTGTCATGCTAAAAGTGGAACACTTATTTAAAGAAATATATGCAAGCCTCAGAATGACTAAGTAGCTGGATAGCATTTGATAAGCTAACATCTATTGTAAAGTACGTCCTCTTTCCATGGCTGGCTTGTTAGTCACACGACCTTAATTGTACAAGTTACTTTGTTGCCACAAAACACTACTTGGATCTGGGGGCTTCTGACAAAAATTCCGTTTAACTAATTGAATCAGTTGCCTAACAGAACTCATCAGACCTTCAAAAGTAGAATGCTGGAAGTGCAGCCCTTGTAAGTAAAATTCCCCATTCAGTAGGTGGAATAATTTCCCTTGGTTAGATCAGCAGCTACGCTCTTGATAATCAGCAGTTAGAATATACTGAAATTTAAACCTACTGACATCAATAGCTAAGGTTTTTGCAGCTTTGTACAGCGAGACTAGATTTCACAGCAGCCTCAGTAATCCTTTTTCCAAAGGAAAATGCCAATTCATGACAAATGCTCTCTAACTTCAAAACATTGATGAAGGACTTTTCTGGGAGATGGGGAAAGACAGATTAGTTGCTGAGGCCAGTGTGGACATAAAGCTTCCTAACAGTTGAACTTAAATGTCAAAATAAAGTATTGCAGATCCAGAAGGTATCTAGAAAGCAGATACTGAAAACATCATAGAAGCTTGGCATCTGTCAACTGTTGTTCTGGCTGTAAGTGTACAGAATATCAAGAGTACACTTATCCATTTGCAGCAAGTGTAGCATAACACTTCTTAGGCATTCTCCTGCTTAAATAGCCTAGATTTTTGAACAATAACGAGTCTCTTCAGAACAGCAGCAGCCTAAGACGAAAACTCAGGTTGTTTAGTACTGTGACAGCTAATAAAACTAATGTAGTCCTCTTATGCCAAATCTTGACATACGAAATTTAGAGTTAAAGCCCAGTAACTGACCTCCTGAAGACACTTTTTTTTTCTTGCAGTTAGTGCAAATACTTGGCCATTTCATATGCATGTAGGTCTTCATTCTGCAGTAAGATCAGTTGTGTTCAAAACATTGAATGTGAATATTGAAATATAGTCAAGGATCTTACAATAGTGTGGAACCCCCCTCCCGCCCCAAAGCATACTGCCTTAGTTTGAATATTCTACAGCTTTTGAAACACACCTGTATTTTCTCCATATGTAACACTCCTTAAACGCCCGAGTCCTGGTCAAGATGACCAGCATGTGCTTAGACAAACTGCTCCGGTGTTATTATCCATTCCAGTCATATTACGCTGAGAAGAAACTGTAACATGATACAAATTGAACTAGGCAAGACAGTCACTGTTACTCGAGAGACCGGTATTGCTTGTTCACAAAACTGACTCAAGCTGAAATCTGGTTCTGGAACTGTAGAAGAATGAAATGATTGTCATCTCTGCTACTGTTAAGTTCTTCACTTGAGACGAGGCACACTTCATCTAAACATTTGGGAAAAAGCTAGAAGTCCACATTGAAAACTGAGTTAAAATGGTTTTTAAAAGAAACAAAACCAACCCACCACCAAACCCACCCATGGCTAAACTAAGGTTATTTAGGAAATAACGGTTGTCTAGCAGGACCCTGCTGCACCAAGATCAGGAGTCCTTTGAAATGCCTGGGTTATACAAAGCTATCATTTTGCAGGGTCACGGTCTTCCTGCAGCAGGACCTTCCAATGATCCATTTCTACAGTGCTGTAAACTGAAAGGGTAACTCAGCACTGACCCTTCTCTACATAATGCTTGTAATACCTAACTCTCTGGCTTGCTGACTTTGGAGTAGAATCTTTTTCACTTTTAAAACCAGTTCCAATTGCAACGGCTGCTTGAGACTGCTCTCTCCTGAGCTATGGACACCACTCTAAAGACTTGAGTTGGCTGTAAGTATTTAAAAAGTCCAGATCGTTAGGTTTTGGCTATATTCTGACTAGTGTAATGTAGAATTCAGTTTGCATTTTTTCTGTTTTATAGCAATGCTTTCAGTTGCAGTAGGCATTGGCAGCTTGATGATTTAGCATTTAGCCCCTTAAATATATTCACATTTCTGCATTTTCTGAACAAATGCAGAAACTGCAGGTTAGAAAAAACTGTCTGCCAGTCAAAACTCATTTTCTAGACACATATATAAAATGGCTTCTAAAATGTTTCTGTCCAACAGGTTTGGTGCAAGTACTAAAGTGGTGCACTTCCTGGGAAGCACAAAGCCATGGAACTACACATATGACTCCAGAACAAAAAGCATAAAAGGCAACATGGACGACCCTAAAATAGTTCACCCAGAATTCCTCAACATGTGGTGGGATACCTACATAGCTGATGTTTTACCATTACTAGAACAGCACGGAATTGTTAAAGAAACTACTACAGGTGTAAACATGGTACGTGCTTTAATAATCTTGTACATCCATACCCAAGTATGGATGATGGGTTATTTACCATTGCAGTGATTTTCCTTCCTTCTGTCCAACTCAAAGCATGGGTGTGTTTTAGTTTGGGGGATGCAGGGTATTTTGGTTTTGCTCTTTTAAGCTTGGAATAAAAAATACTACAGAAGAGAAGCATGCTGTGGTGGTCTTGAACATAGCTGTATGCTTGCCTAAAACAGTGTAAGAAGCTAACCTCGCACCAGATATTATACTATAGTAACTTCTTTAATATACACAGAGAAGGGCCCTAACTCTTAATGTGTTGCAGCTAATAAGGTTCTCAAGCAGAAGAACCCCAGTTCAGCATGCAAATAGGTACACACAGATCTCGCATGGTGAAACAAATTTAGGTAAACCTAGGATAACTAGAGAATCAATACTTACATAAAATGGCAGTGATGAATCCCAATACTTATTAAAGCCAAAGTAATGATTCGAACTCTAATTCTCATTCAGAATTTAGTAGCTCGCATCTGACTGCAGACTTCTTAGTCTTAGCTTAGTACGTGGGCCAGTTTAAGTTCTCAACCTTTCCAATACCAAAGTTAATGATCTCTTAAGATGTGCTTTCTCTTGGTAATCTTGCATCTTTCTAACAAACTATTTGCAGCTATCGGGCTTGGTCTATACTCTGGCTTTCTCTTGTGGCTTCTGTAGAGAGGTATGAAGAACTTAAACTTTAATTTATTTTTTTTTTTTTAATTATTTTTTCCCTTGCTAACTTCTGTAACTCTGCTTTGTTATTTTGCTAGGAAAGCTGCACAATCCCTGCCCGTTGGCAATGCTTGCTACTGCGCATGAGAACATCTACTTTGTTGTCCCACTCTTCTATGGCCTGTTGCTCACTTTAGCTATGCAAAGTATTTCTGTATTTTTACTCTGCCTTTCCTTTTAGGCAGAGGTTACAGAGGCAGTGTCCCACTTATCAGTATCACCAGTATTACCAACTGAATCTTCAGAGGAACGCAAGGAACGGTGGGAACAGGGCCAAGCTGACTATATGGGAGTGGATTCCTTTGACAACATCAAGAAGAAACTTGACACCTACCTTCAGTAGAAATGCCTGTCTCAAACAGTGGTGATGCAAGGACTTGTTCCAGAACTAACAGCTAGAAAGGTATAGATGGTGGTCAGTTACACTTGCTAGTAGCTTGATGAAAAACTTCTTGGCTGAAGGCCTCTGCAGTGCTACAGATGAACACTGAGCAAAAGCTAGGAAGCAGAATTCCTTGGGCCACCTATTACTGCCCAATTTCCAATTCTCCCTACTAGATAAAACCAGGTATTTTCAGCTTAAAATTTCTTCTGTTGTGATCAATTGGCTCAAGATATTCTCGAAACTGGGTTTGTTGCCTCACCTCATTAAGGTGATTAGCATTGATTCCTTTGCTTGCTGTTTTAGATGTAAAATCTAATTCATGAGATTGCTCATACACTGGAGTGGTAGCCGTTCTGCTTTACCATAAATGTATTAATGACACTGGGATACATACGGTTGTAACAGTAATAGCACTGCTTTGCTCTTCCAGTCACAATTGCACTGAAATTTTGACCAGGTTCTTACGCACAGTGCCTACAGCATGGCAGAATGCGTTTTTCAGTTCTGTATACTATGGGACTAGTAAACTGAGTTTTATCTGTTCCTTGCAATGTTGCACTTGATACAAAAATAAAAAGTTGTCATGCATTTCTGTCTTCCCTAAACTCTTGAGCAATTAAGGAAAAGGGAGATCCAAAGCAGCCTAACTAAAATATTCAAGAGGTATAACCATTAAGCTTTGCTAATGCTACTCAGGCTCTCATTAGCAAATGTCCAGCTTTTAGTTCTGTAATTATTTACAAAGTAGATAGTAATTTGCTAGGGAGCTGTTTAGGGCCAATCCCCTTATTAGCTTGCCCTAAATATAGGATAGCGCAGCGGAGAAAGTACCTGCTGAAGCTACTCACATTAGTAACATGGAGTTTGGGAAGAGGGCCTCTTTCTTTCAAGTGACTAAAGAAACATCATCTCTAACTTAAGCCCTGTACACTGAACTTAGTCTTACACACAGTGGTGATACTGTTTTGGCAAAGAAAGATTACACAGCTGCTTAAGTAACTGTACTTTCCTGATTAGGAAAACTACTCTTTCCATGTGTGCAAAGAGTAAAAGAAAGGGTTTTTTTGCCACACTCAGGCTACACATACTCCAAGATACGTGGGAAAGCAGTAAAAATAAAGTATGCTGATGACAAGAGATTGGCTGATATCTGTACTAAGGTTCAGATTTATCCTTTAGCCAAAAGTCTAAACAGAACAAAAGTAGTGTTCTTTGACAGCTATACCCTGTACTAGTCCAGAAACACTAAGAAAATATTATTTCATTATTTTCTAATAGAGGAGGATTTTGGCTGGAACCTAGTGAGGGTGCTAAACTTTTAACGTAGAGATAAAATAAATAATCAACAAGCTCTCACAATTTGCTGGTAAAGCAGAAGACATAATACGGGTATGAGAGTTAGTCTGTTTTAACTTGTTTTCACTACTTAATTGCTCTAAGATCAGTTGGTCACCATTTAGGAAAAATGCTAAAAGATGAGGTCCAAACCAAAGTAGCTTGTAGATATTTAAAAGTACATAGTATCTGAACTCCCAGTTGAAACTAGCCCTTTCCTGTATGGGTTTTTCTTTTGCTGTGGTTTTTTTTATTTTTAAACAGATAAATTTGAAGTTGTGTGAAAGTAGGAGGGATTACTAGTTGCAGTCTGTAATGACAAAAATATATCAACCAAGTACTGGAGTTCTGCATGCTCACAGAATACTCTATGGAAAATAGTAAAATACTCTTTTAAAGACAGCTAAAAGGTTTTCCTCCTCTTGTCTGTATTCATACTAGAGAATAGGCACATTGCTTCTTTTTAAACTTAGTTGGAGAGAACCAAGAACGTGTAAAGGTATGAGACTTACTACCTGCTTGAAAATTTGGTTTAGCATGTAAGTTTTGTAACGTTAATACAATACGATAAGGAGAGATGCTGAATCAGATGAAAACCTGCATGTTTTGGTTAACAAATATAGCTAGTAAAGAAAGAAAACCTGTAACAATCATTCTGTCCTAGCCTCTGTAACTCATACTGTGGTCAAATGTTTACCCACAGCCTCAGGAAAGCGAAAGGTATGACATCTATACCAAATTCTATGCGGCTTATTCTCAATAAAATGACCTTTATGTCATTATCTGCCACTATTTCCTTCACAACTGCTGCAGGCAGTATTTGCAGAAAAGCAGAGATCCCTTTTCTTCTCTTGCAATAGTATCACTTGATTCATCAAGCAGTTTTCTGCTCTAAACGGAAGGTACTCAAGGCAGTAACTGAATCCAAGCACTATACTCAAAACATCACTATTCAGAAAAGTCATAGGGCGGCTTAGATTGCAACTCAAGTATTGGAACTGCATTTCCCTTTATAAAGCATATAATCTAAGGTGTTCCTTAGGTGGTGACAACTCAGAGCAACTCTTAGGAGTTCAGAAGCATTTTTTCCATTTACATCTTTATTTTATGTACAAAGTAAAAAAACCCCAAAAAATCAGAATGATAGACTATTAACTCAGTCTTTGGAATTAAAAATAATTCCAAGAGCTCATTTCTAGAACATATTCAAACTCCACAAAAGAGAATGCAAATAGCCAAAGACTACTTAGAGGTCATGAAAAGCAGAAATAAACTCCAAACAACCAGAACACAGGGGGTTTTATCCACCCGAGTAACTGAAGGGCTCCATCAAATCAAACAGGACTTTTCTGTTCTCAGCTTTGACCTCTATCTGTTCTCTCAGATACATTAATGACTTTGTTGGCAGAGATCATATAGCTTAGTACCACCTTCAGTAAGTTTTTATATGGCTTTGGAACATGGAAACAATTGTCTAATAGAGGAAAGAGATACTAGTAACTGTTTTCATAACGATAACTAAGCCATTCTACAAAATGTCAGCACATTTTCACACAAGTAATGATGCAGCTTGACTAGCCAAAGATATGGGTCTCTTTCCTGTGGAATTTTAACTTGGAAAATGGAAATAATGAAACAAAG